CTACCCAATTTTAATAGCAAAATTCAATATTTTATTTTAAAATAATCATTTGGTATTTATTATGGGTTTCCAAAATTTCTAGACTAAAAAATTATTTTCCTAAATAGATGTTTTGGGTGAGGGAGATGCACAATATCCTCACTAAGGAGCATAGTATATGCTTTCTTGCTGATTTTCCCTATATCAAGCCCAAAAAATAAGCAATATAAAGCGTTTCAATACTTTCTGGGTGTGGTTTCTATAAGGTTGCAAAGGTAAACATTAAGGTGTATTTCTAAATTTTATTGGGGGAAAATTTTTTTAGGATTATTTGAAAATTTATTTTTCATAACCATTTATAAAATTTAAAAATCCAAAAATGGTTAAAATTAAGTAGATATATAAACATATGAAAATCTTGAAAATGGACGGTCTAGATAATGTGTTGTAAGATGCAGGATTTTTGGGACTCAAAATTTTTTTTTTTTTTTTATATATTCATACATCTCGATATTGAGGTAATCAATTAGAGACCCGAGTTTCAACATTATTGAAACAACAGTTTCAGACGGATTTTTGAGGTGCATCTATAATTTTACATTTTTAAGGTTGCAACCGTATATAAACTTTTCCCATTATTTAATCAACACTATAAAGAAATTCAAATAATACTGTAAAAGCAAGTCTACTCTGTGTGCAAGGACTCGGCCGAGGCGAGTCTCACTGACAGAGTCCAAAAAGCTTTAAAAAATTTAAAATTCACTAATATATGGTTCAGAAATATATTTTTTATTATTTTTATGCTGATTTGTAGGCTTTTCTTATTACATCTCCATTTTTTATTTTCTGCTTTTTTTATTTTTCTGGAATATTTGAACTATAAAATCAAAAGTTTCAAACGTTCAATAACCCTTCTTTTATATAATAGTGCATCTTTTATAGTTTGATTTCTATTAGTTATTTTAGTTTATGACTTTTGTTAATTTTTAATTATTTCATAAACTTTTTTACATTTTTTTTTAGGCTTTTGGGCATGTATAATCGGACTGCCCGAACCGAGTTTCAAAACATTGATCTTGAACTTAATATTCATAAACATTGCGCCGAACATTGGCAATTTCTTCAAAAATTGAAGACGCAAACTCCCTTAAAAGGAATTAGAAGCGGAAAATCGAAGTAATCAAATCGAATCGGAAAATCTTCAAAAAAAAGGAACAAGGCAATGGCCAAAATACCTGCTAAAAAGAGTGTATAATCGTATTTCAGTGGAGATAATGCGTTGAATAGAGGAGAACCCTTTCCTTGCAGAGCGCACACAAATGCATAGGACGCTTGAGTATGGGCGACGATGACAAAAGGAGCAGGGAAATGGAAAATCTCGACTTCAAAAGCAGGGTATGGATATAAAATGACTGTAAAAATATAGGGTTGTGTATGGTTTTATGACAGCAGAGACGTGGCTGAAATGGCAACCAGAAAGCAGATTGAGAGCTCTAATGGCTGCTTCCTGCTGGTACACTTAAGACTATCCAAGCAAAAATAAATAAAAGAAATTAAAAAAAAATCCATCAACATAAAGTAGGGTCAATTTGTTTGCAAATTGGTATGCTTCGCAGGAGCAAATTGTACATAAAACAAAAAAAAGAAAACTCGTAGTCAATAATGGACCTGACCTAACATGGGACCTGATAAGATAGACTCGGAACCGAACATATCCGAGTATAAATCTAACTTTTGGACCCAACCCGTATCCGACCCATTGTCACCCCTAATACTCGCTACAACTGCGTAAAAAAAACATCATGCATTATATGGCACATGTCTAACCCAAGAGAGTACATTTTCATGGAAATGGCCCACGCGTAAAACGACGTTATGCTGGCACATGTCTATTCCAGATGCTTTTTTTAAGGGTGGGAATTGTATTTATGTGTGGAGACTGACTGCCACGTTTTAAACGTTTTTGTGGAAAAGTGAATTTTACAAAAATAGGTGGAATTAATATTTCCATGAGCCCCCAAAACTTGTTGTAAGTTATATCTTTTTAGGGTGGGTTGAGGTCCATTCAAAAAAGGAGCTCAAACCCTTGTAGTAATTATAATAATTAATATAGCATAGTTAATACTTAATATATCATAGTTAATACATTGTACTAATTATTGTATAATAAAATATATAAAAAACATTTTTGTTTGGGTAATTTGGTGGGAAAGACAAGTCATACCACATGGTAGCTGGGTATGGGAATGCTACCACTATGACAGGTCCCTTTCCTTATAATTAACATATTTAATATTATAGTATTGTAAAATGTTATATTAAATAATTTCGAGGAGACACATATTTCAAGCAATCCAAATAATGGATAGACATCTTCTAGGTCTCTTACCAAATGCTATCCGAACAGCAGACTCTTATATTCTAGAAGATGTCAATTCCAAGAGATACCAATTCTAAGCCAGATATTTCCTAGGACACCCATTTCTAAGGAACCAAACGGGCGTTAAGAGCTCAACTGCTCTACCAAGTATGAGCAACTTATATCATCCTTGATAAAAAAAAATGATGACCGTAAATTATCTTTGGTATGTGGGCATGATCAGTCTCAAAAAAGGAAAATTATTTTGAGATCAAAGTCCCGATACATCTAAGGTCCACATCATTTAATCTTGCAAGATATTTTTATTTGAAGCATTAAAGTGGGAAAATGGTCTAGTACGAAATTATACATTTGGTCCTGTCAGGGGAGATTCATTGGAGCCCTATGCTTCGAATGGTAATAATTTTGACCTCAAAAAGTTCCCCATGAATAATGGATTTTTGTGGTAAAAGTGGGGTTTAGCAATGGGCTTAGTTACTAAATTTGGTCTCCATGGACCATCTTCTAGGAACTATCAAATTGTTATTTCCTTAAGTGATCAATAATTTCACCCAATTGTGTTATCACCACTTGTTTCCTTAAATGATTCATAATACCAGTGTATCTGAAACCAGTGTGGTTGGATGAATCAGCCTCCCTGAAATCGATTGGCAGATCGGACCGATTCTCAGGTGTAACAATTGGTCTAAAATATAAATAAAAATAATATATATATATATATATATAAGAAAAAAATTATATAAAGATGCAACCTTATAATGTAGAATTACGGATGCATCTAAAAAATCCATCAGAAAAGGAAGCTTTAATGTTGAAAAACCTTTTAATTGATCATCTCAACATCGAGATATATGACTATGAAAATAAAAAGATTTTAAGTCTCAGAAATAGTGCATTTTACAACATATTATCTACACTGTCCATTTTCAAGATTTTCATATGTTTATAGATCTACTTGATGTTAACCATTTTTGAAATTTAAAATTTTATAATTAGATATAAAAATAGATTTTGAGATAATCCTAATAACATTTTACATCAAAATTATATACCACGATAGAATTTGAAGTGGCACTTTACCTCTATAACTAAAGATGCATCTGTATGCCAACTGCACCATATATATATATAATAGGTGAGAAAAGGGGGATTGACGAAATTACACATGCTCAAGTCAACCAATTCTCAATTCTAACAAGGAACATGTCTGGAAGGACCAAGTCCCAATTCGGATTAACAATTCCCAATCCTAACTACTATTTTTCTTTCAGGATTGTATATTTTGATATCATTTATCTTTTGGTATAAGGTGGTCACAATTACTTACAACCATCCAACATAAAATTTGATAGGTTAGATGTTACAAAGTTCAAAAAAACAAACATTTTGTACCTTGAGCTTAGTCAATGAAATAAATGCAGCCCACAGAACTTCATATTCAATGGTTATACCTAACTTCACATCCAATGGTTAAAACTAATTATGACTACCTTGTACCATAGATAAAAAGTATCATTATATACTTTTCTTTTTCCTAAATACTAGTTATGAACCCATTGGAACTAAGACTTAGCCCCAACATATAATTTGAAGGACCCAATGTACGTACATCTGGACCCACGGACCACCAATCTTGCACAGACTTCTTTTACTTTGTCCTCATGTTATGTAAGGAATAGCTAAAGTGTAACAATCATAGCAAAGCAAGACGTCTTTATTGTCTAAACCTCAGTTGTTATATTTAGGGAAAATTACAAGAAAAAAACAACCTTCCATACCAGCCTTTCTATACAACTTACCCCCAACCAAGCTTTTTCTCCCACCTTTTTTCCTATAACGAATTTTTTATACAAATACCCCCCAAGGGAAGAAATTCACTTTTTTAGATAGAAATGCCCTTGCTATACACAAAATCATTTTCGGCAGATTTGACAATGACTTTTGGACCCCAGTAGCATATTGCTGTAGTACACTATCACATTGCCAGAGTACATAAGCGTTGGACTGCCCTTTGCAGTTGCCGGACCGCCCTTTGCAACTACCGGATCCCCCTTTTCAATTGTTGCACCACACTATACACAATGTCGGAACCCTACAGCCGGACCGTACTTTATATAGTGCAAGAGCCCTATTGTCGTACCGCACTTTACATAGTGTTGAAGCGCTACTGCCGGACTAAACTTACACGGTGCTGGAGCCCCTTATTTTGGTGGGATAGAGGAGATAGAGACGTGGGTAAGCTAAACCTAAGGGAGGGTAGTTTAGGCTTTTTATTTTTTTGGTCGGAGTTTTGCATAGAAAGCATATTTTGAGGAAAAAAGTGAGAGAAAAAGTTAGGTTGGGGGTAAATTGCATAGAAAGTGTAGTTTTGGGTTTTTTTTTTATTTGTAATTTTCCCTTATGTTTAAGATCCGACCGTTTAAGGGTGTGATTGATTGGTGGAACCGAAGGCACATCTATTTCGAGAATGGGACTAAGGTTGTGGTGGTATCTAATACTTCTATTCTCACTAATACTTTAAAAAAATGGACGCTTTTCCAAAATAGGTAGGGGCTTGTAATTCCCACTGATCTACCAAAAAGAGAAACCTTGGTCCCAAATTCTTCATCTGAAGGTTCAATCAAACAATGATCCATATTGAAATCGCCTGATCTAGATCACTAATAGGGGGATCGATCTGGCTCCCACCAAATACTGGAAACCAACCTTTTCCCACTATGAACCACATGATTTTGATCCATTCTCACACAGAACTGGCCGGTTCTCTTAAAGAACCAGCTGATTTTGCGGTTCTGTCAGAGAACTAGCCAAAACCAGCCCCATATTTTTTTTTAAAAGATTTTTTTAAAAAATATTTGTCTATTTTTTTTATTTTATTTATTGACCGAATCACCTTACGGATCCCCGGATTTTTAGATTGGTAATCTAGGTCACTGATTCAATTTTTCATGTAAAACATGAAGTAAAATTGGGATCTTACTTGGGTCCCAAATTTTTTATCTAGAGCAAGTTAAAGAAGAATATGGAACATATGGTCACAATAACAAGTCAACTACTACTTGTCTAGCCTGCCACACCCTCATTACATTCACACACACCTCCCTTCTCACACTATCATTTATTTATTGGGTTTATGTGGAAAATTGGGATCTTACTTGGGTCCCAAATTTTTTATCTAAAGCAAGTTAAAGAGGAATATGGAACATATGGTCACAATAACAAGTCAACTACTACTAGTCTAGCCTGCCACACCCTCATTATATTCACACTCACCTCCCTTCTCACACTACCATTTATTTGTTGGGTTTATGTGGCCTTTAAAAGCCTTATGAGAGCTTGTATGAGTATTTTATATAGTGAAACATAAACTTAATAGAGGTGTGGTCATCTTGTAGACCATACTAGGCAAATGTGATTTGTCGATATTCGGACTAAGCTCGATGTGTTAGGCCAGTCAAGTTTAGAAAAACCCAAGGTACTTAGGCATAGGGATCTACCGAGGAAGGTTTAGTGGGTTAGTTCTTGATGAGGTCGGAGTATGCCTAGATGAGAGTTAAGGGACTACGTGGCCCTTACATGTGATGAATAGCCTTTAAAGACAAGGCTAAAACCTTATTGTTATATCATCACATGATATATATATAGATAGCCGTTTTAAGATTTACCAATGAGGGTGAAGCATGTACATGTGCGAGTGATTACCCCTATGCACCATAGAGTCATGGTTGCATCATAGTCTGGAGGACTATGATTTTTTTGTCTCTAGGGGAGAACCTGAAATCCATAAACTGAGATTGCATTCCCTATTCTATCGGCTGAGTTTGGTGGTTCAATCATGAGCCCCTGCAGTGGACTGTGGGTGAAGGTGACCCACAGTCCACTGAATCAAGATTGCTTGATCCAATAAATATAAATTGGATATACTAAAATAGAAAATAAGATATATATATTTTTTTATTTAAAGATTTGATGAAAATAGATCTACAAAAGGGAGGACAAGGCTCTAGCTCATCTCTTTGAATCTTGATAGTGGAACAAACAGATAAATGACTCAAATCTCTCACCCCACAAGTCTCCTTAAATCGACGGTCAAGATTTAACCTTACGAATTGAGGCAAACCCCAAAGGCATAGAAAATCTATAAAAGGAGATATCTCCCTTCATAACATACATATGATCTCCTCTCTCTTTAAGAATTCTCTCTCTTTACCAAAATTTAGTTCTCTCTCTATATTTCCAAAGTGGAGGCATGCCCCAATTTTGAAGCACGTCCCAAGTTTTACCTTCTATCTTTCTCAAGTTTTTTCTAGGAGGGTACGGCCAAATCATCTTTCTCTCGTTGTTTCTAGATTACACGTTCAAGC